CCACAGGCTGCAGCCCCCTGCGGTTCTGGCCCTTGGGCCCTTTGCGAAGGGAAACTGAGGCACACAGGAACCTCAGCAGCTTTCCGGCCGCGTCCCAAGGGCAGAGCCTCATCCCCCCACTTTAGACCCGCTGCCGAGAGCACCTTACAGCCACGGGGAGAGGAGGGGACAGGCCGTTCCCGGGGGGGTTCAGCGCTGCAAAAGAAGCGGGGGCAGCGGCAGCGGTGTAAATGTACTGCGGGACACGGTGTATTTACCCGCAGAGAGGAGCGGGACGGGCAGGCACCGCGCTCCAGGGATGCTCTGCACTGAGCACCCGCTCCCGGGGGGCCGAGCGCGACCCCCCGCAGACAGCCCCACCATGGGCAGCACCTGGCACAGCAGGGTTAGGGGTCAGATGTGCTAATTAGCCGCTGATAATGATTGCTCCTGCCCTGCTTTAGCAGGTAATGAGTGTTTTCTGGGGAGGAGGCTCTCTCCCCCAGCTGTGAGGTATGATGGACCGATGTCGGTCTCTCCCTGGCTGGCTCCGAGCTGCCGCTCTGCCAGGAAAGGGCTTTTGCTCCCTTTTGGGTCTGCGTGAAGCCCGCACCAAAATACATCTCAGTTTGGGAAATTCAGCTGAAACCAATGCCACGCTCCAGCCCAGCTGAGCGGAGGCGGGACAGACCCTGTGAGCGATCGCCAAAAGGCTCCGTGATAACCAGAGCCTGGAACGGCCTCGGAGTGAGCACGGGGGATGCGTTCGGGCACGGTCCCTCCGGGATGGGACCGGGGATGAGCAGGGCTGAGCCATGTCGGGAGGGACGCAGCGGGAAACCCCACAGCCCTGCGGGACTGACGGTAACGTCAGTCTTTTTTGCCTTCCTCACGGGGACCCGGCAGCACCAAACCCACCCCGGAGGAGGTGCGGGGTTGGGCACAGTCCTTCGACAAGCTGATGAAGAGCCCGGCGGGTCGCAACGTCTTCCGGGAGTTCTTGCGGACTGAGTACAGCGAGGAGAACATGCTCTTCTGGCTGGCGTGCGAGGAGCTCAAAAACGAGTGCAACAAGCACACCATCGACGAGAAGGCCAGGATGATCTACGAGGACTACATCTCCATCCTCTCGCCCAAGGAGGTACGGGGCAGAGCCCCTCCTGCGGCTCTCGAGCGGTGGGCTCGGGCAAAAAATGAGGCTGTGGAGGGGGTTATTCCTTAGGGAAAGGGCTCTGTCCTGGCTGCTGCTGTGGCAATTTGGGGATGGGTGGTTGGGGATGAGTTTGGCAGGGTGATGGGTTTGCTTAGTGCTTGTGGATGATGGTGGGGAGGATATCCCCGGCTCCCCCCAGCCCCTGCCCCAGAACTCCCGGGACGCAGCCGGCGGCAGCACCGGGGGCCGGATTGTGCTGCGGGACCAAAACCTCAGGAGGGCACCAGCGGGCCGAGGAGATGCCGCATCCCACAGCTCAGAGCATCCCCAGGGTGGGAGCACCCCCGGGCCACCTCCCTGTGCCCAGCACGGGGACACGGGGAGGAGCCGGAGACCTCCCTGCAACTCTCTCCCCAAAACACGCAGCCTCCGGTGCGAATACACCCCGGGGTGGAGCACGCCGAGGGCTCCCCGTGGTGCTCCTGCATTGATACCCAATTTCCCGCGAGAGCTGGCACAGGGGTGGGTGCCGGGGCCGGGGGGCATGGCACTGGGGGTCCTTCAACCCCCTCAAATCCATCTCCATTTCTCTCCCTGCTCCCAGGTGAGCCTGGACTCGCGGGTGCGGGAGGTCATCAATCGGAAGATGCAGGAGCCGTCCTCGCACACCTTCGACGACGCGCAGCTCCAGATCTACACGCTCATGCACAGAGACTCCTACCCTCGCTTCCTGACCTCTGCCATATACAAATCGCTGCTCCAGAGCGTCTCCCGCTCCTCTTCGGAGTCCTAAGGGCGCCCGCTGGCTGCGGGGACCTCGGCGGGGGCGCGGGGGCCGGTTGGGGGGCGCTGGCACCCCCCCCC